TGAAGTTTGTTTATGTGAAAACCTGTACTGTCTGTATAGCACCACAGACACCAAACCTTGAGCACAAGCAAGCATCCTCTGGCAAGCCCAGGTAACTTGAACAGTTTGTCCCCCTGCTGAGCAGTACTAAGTGTAATAACATTCATGTTCATGACTTTGTGGCTAAATGAAATTCAAACCGTAAATGCCTATGGGTTTGATGGTGAGGCACTACATTTGGTAAGGGTCAGTGGGAGGCAATGATTAAAACCAAAAAAACTCTCTTCATAATATTTCACTATTAATGGGTGAAAAGTTTGACAGAATTTGTAAAAGTAGGACACCCTAAAACACAAGTAGATTTTGCAATGGTATTTTGAAATTGTCTACAAAAAAAAAAAAATAATTAAAAACTGAAGAGAGAATGATTGCTAGAGGAAGCTGCAGCTATGCAAATCAAACAGAAAACAGTTTGGAAGCTATACAAGACAAGTTTGTCGTGTGAGACTCCAAAAACACAATACAAAATATAAGGACCACTAAGCTAGAAAGGATTCTCATTAATTGGGGAATGAGTTACGGACCAGTCCAAAACCTGTTTATTCTCAGTATCGAAGACAAAGATTAAAGACAACAGCAGTTCCAAGGTGTTAAACCTATAATACCAGCACAAGGCAAAGATAGAATAGACATTGTAGAAATCACATCAGCTCTTAAGAATTTCTACTCTCTGTAGAATAAAAATAAGTACAAATTTTTTTTTCATTCACAGACCATTAAAGACTGACACAGCAATGCTGAGTCAGACTTCAGTCACAGAAATACAGAATCATACTGTGATTTTTAATTCCGTTTTTGAGACACATTTGAATGAAAACTCATTAGCAATGGCACATGCTGCAGAGTGTCTGTGTGATACCTGCATGATATTTTGGACTACCTATTTAGCTAGCAGCTTTTACTAGAGTTCTATTGCTTAACATGATCTTATGATCAGTCACAATGCTAGTTGACTGCATCTATTAATCTTGTAGTTCATTTTAATAACCTGATCGACACGGAAGAAATTATTCCTTGATCTCGCAATAAAATAAAGCTTTGTAAACAAAGGAAAGGGAAGGAGTTTAAATTGCCATTGATTAAGACATATTAATCATTTATCATTTAACAGCCTCCCACATCAATCTGCAGCACACATGGCTCTTTCTGAAAGACTTACAACATGTTTTAAATGAATCTCAGGACACATATCAGAAAATGGAATAAATTTAGGGCAATCATAAGGTGAAGATCCCTTGAGATTCTGCAGCAGAAAGCAAGTAGCTGTCTAAGAAACCTTAGGATTATTTTCTAGTATCTTCCCTTGAATGTGCACAGCAGCTGGCTTGATATTTTACTTTCAACCTAGTCGAGCAGCAAGGTGGTCATGTTAATCACTTAAGGAAACTGTAGCATATATGTTCATCACAGACCTTTTTCCTCGCCACCAAAACCTATTTTAAAAATTAGGTTTTAATTCCATAATTAGGCTTCATATTAGGTCATCCTAATACAGAAAAGAGATTAAGCAGTGTGTTTTACAATTCAAACACTTATTTATGAAAAACATTAATTTTACTGCTACAGGTTTTAGGTTGCACTTTCTAGCTATTACAGTGCTCCAAAGCAATTTCAGTTGAAAAATCTCAGTGTGCGGAATGGGAGAAAACAGAGAAATCAGAAGTATTATCCAACAATTTACAGCTATTGCAGAAGATTGCATGATCCAAACTTGGCTGATCATTTTGATAGCCAGACTCTGACTGCAGTTATGTGATAGCCACTAACATAGAATACACTATATTAACTTCCATTCCTTCAAATACTTACCTCAAGCTCTCAGTCAACACTGTTTAAACTTTTTCAGAGTAGCTCCACAGAGGCAAGAACATTTCTTCCCTTTGAAAGATTGCATTTCTTCCTTTTCCACCCATTCCTTCCTAAATACAGACTAGCCTCTAGCCTTTTTTCATTACTGTATACCCTATGGACGAAAGGATTCATTTCTCATCTAAGTCAAAGTCAGAACTTCCATTTACTTTTAACAACACATCTAAATGATTTCAAGGCTAAAGAGTAGTCTTTAAACTACTGGAAACCTTGACCAGAAGTCAAACAAAACAGCACATTGCTTTCTTTTGGGGGCTAATCTGTTCTGGGAGGTTTTCTTTTGTGAAATAGGCACATATTAAATTTATACAGTGAAACAAAAGAATATGAAAGAATACAAAACAAACTATTCACAGAAGCACTAACTTAAGGATTTCTAAAATACTACATTCTGAAGTGTATATCAATATTTGTACACACTGAAAAAATAATGTTATGCAACTATCTGATAAGACTTCTATCTGATTCTTGTTAGCTTATGAAGTTGCACTAACAAGAAATAAAACAGGTGAACATTTTGTTTGGGTGGTTTTCGGTTGTTGTTTTTTGTTTGTTTGTTTTTTTTTTTAATTACAGCAGGAAATCTATAGTGATGGTGGAATGAATTTTTCTGTTTACCTGTTAAACTAGGTATCTTTACTATTTAATGTACACTATTCTAAGAATGTGGGACTAATAGGGTGAAAATTATATCTTGTATCATCTGATATGTTTTGTGCTTTTCTATTAAACCTGATTTCACATCAGCACATTATTCTTATACTTATAAACACTTAGGCACATCCTGAACAAAACGATGTACAAACACTATTTTCCAAGGTTACAACTTGCTCTTTAAAATCTCACACAAAAGCAACAAGCACAAATGTAATTGCCACTTGGCTTCAACAGAAACACAGCTGAATTTATCATTACCTGTAATAGCATTCCTTTGAAGGAAAGCTACATAATCTATTAAATGGCCAAACTTGTTAACAATATCATGAAAAGTGTTAATTTATTTGCACATCTTTCTCCATTAAATTCCCTTCATGAATGGTCATAGTAAGCATGTCTTATTCCTGCAGATTAGTTCAATTTTGTAATCCATTCCTTGTAACGCAATTTTCAAAAGCACTCCATATAAGATAAATACAGCTGGATGTGTTGTTCCATACAAAAACATTTCACATTTCCTTTCGCTCTTGAATTGAATCACCCTATATAAAAAATACATATGATTGCAACCATGACATTTTTCAACCTTCCCTGGAGGCATTTTAACACAGAAGATTGAAAAATGTGTTCCACTAATGTTGAATTATTCTTTAAATTATCATTATTCCTAATAATTTATTCTTATTTAATACTCAGACCTCAGCCAGAACACTGTATCTGTCTGGGGGACGGGGTTCTAATTTTACTGCAGAAGTGTCAATCATCTCCTTTACTGAGTAGAAGGTATCCACCCCCTAACCCATCCAAACTCTCAACTGAACACGGACTGGGAAAAGCAAGCAAGCAAGCAAGCAAGCAAGCAAACAAACAGAAAAACCAGTTAACACAGCATGGATTCTGCAGCATGAGATACCACATATTTAATTTGGGAGAGAACAATCAAATGTATAAATTACACGTTTAAAAACAAAAGCAAACAAACTCCAAAATCTAAACAAACAAACAAATAACCACCCCTCCACCCCTCCAAATTGCTTATTCTCATTTTCAGTGGAATACTTTTATTTAACATCTAAGATGAAATAAAGTAGATGATAAGGATAATCAGTCCCAGAAGGGATATACCATTAAAATATAAAAAAAAAAATTTAGGTATTTTTTAATATTATGGGATATTCACCATTAATACATACACCTCACATTTTCAGCAAATTCCAACAGACATTATTCCACAGACACAGCAGAACAGAAGAGTTCGTGCCTGGCAACCCATGAACCATAAATCAGTGCAGACAGGTACACTGAACAAAGTACTGACTTACTTGCCCTAAATAAAAAGGTACTCAAAAGAAAAAGCAAAACAAAAACTCACAACCAACAAGTGCTGAATAATACATATAAAGACAATAATTAAAATTCTTTTTTTGTCCAAAGTATTTTACTTAAAAACAAACAAACAAAAAAAACCAAAACAACCCACAACCAAAAAAAAGTACTCCTGGCTTCAATCAGATAAGACAGTCTGAAAAAATACCCACAAGTGTACAGAGCTTCAAGAACTTTTCAGATTACAATGGGAATTTTTTTATGGTTCTATCTTCAGAAGAAAGGCTCAGAAGACAAAATAATGATCCATTGATACAAAAACATACTGAAAGGAAGGCTTAAAAACCTGCTTTAATCCAGTGTTCTTATTATAAATCTGAAGCAGCATGTCAATATATATGAATGCAGAACCACAGCCTTATTTTGCCAGTAAGAAGTATTGTTAGATTTTGCTCAAATCACAGAATAGAACTGTGCTAAATATTCCACACTGTGGCATTCATAATCAAAAATTACTCAAGATGGCTCATATAAACAAGTGAATCCCTTACACATACTCAACCAATGTCCCACAGACAGAATACTTCCATTAAAAAAAAAATAAAATAAAATCATCAATTCACCTTCTAGCAGAAATTCTGACAGATGCTCTTCAGGATACAGAATTTTAACATCACTTGGCAAAACTGTATGCATCCCATTATCTTCTAAAGTTCAGATATTGTTTAGACAGCATATGCTGATTATAAACATAATAACTCATTAAACTGTCAATACGTGAATAATAATATGTGAATAATAATAAATGAATACTGAAAAAAAACACCTAAAACAACCCACTGATACACATCTTCCATGTTCACTTATGCTAATTCTCAGGTCTTCATAAAGCATAAAGTTAATAGGGTATTGGCATGCTGGCAGGTAGTTGTAATTATCTTCTCATGTTTCAGAAGGTATTTTAGAATCATTTAAGAACAAAGTATGAATGGTGTTCCAGTAAATCTCACTAAATCAATGCATGGACCCAGCAGCAGAGGCAAACAGGCTGACAGAAGTCTGAACACCCACAAAGATGATAAAAAATACTGTTCAATACAGCTACTTACATCATGGCCCACGAGTTCTGTCTGAGTGGATTTATCTGCTTGAGAAGCAAGAGCCTTCTGAAAGCACTGAGCCTTTTCCTGCAAAACAAAATAACACATCATAGCTAAGTCACGTTTTTCTTCACTGGGCTTTGCTGTTACAAATATCCAGATAAGTTTAAATATCATGCATGGACAACTGTTCAGAAATAGATTTATTATGGCACTGTTCTCTCAGGGACAAATTTTTCCTTACTGTTACTTCCTTTTATCAACTTAACCTTCTCTTAGACAGTGGACTGGCACAGTTCAGTTATGTGGTAGAGCTGGGCCCACAAGAAGAACGTCACTGGAGCACAATGCAAAGCAATCTTCTTCCATAATAGATACATGTACAAAGCACCCAGCAGTGGCAGCAACTTGTTCGAACACCAGCACCATTAAAACAATCAAATAAACTATTTTTTTTTTTCTTAAAGAAACATTAAGGAACATTAAAACTCCATTGCAGATCACAACACTGAGATGATTTCCCCCATTTGCATGACGCAAACATGTTAGCAAAGCCTAAACATTTCCAGGGTATTGTACTGATTTCTAGTTTTCCTGTGCTTGTCCCTCTGTACCTCTGTCATTTTTGGAAGTGCAGCATGGAATCTCTGTGACAGGCTTGAGCAAGAAGGCTGCTCTGATGTAATTATGCTTCACCCAAAAAAAGTATTTTGATACTTCATTTGAAACTTGTCACTAAGTACATATACTATATAATTTTCCAGAAGAAAGTATACAATTAAACAACTATAAATAAGCAGCATAAGGCAGGACAAGGCACACAGAAAGGGAAGATTCTGTGAATAGAAAACACAGTCCTTTACTGCACTGATACATGCTTTTGCATCTACCGATTCAGTTTTATGTTCAGCCATATCCATACAAAATACTTTGACTCAAATTCCTCAAGACCTACAAAAGCATGTTTTAATGTTACAGACAGGTATGTATCACAGTAAAACAGAATTTCTGTAAAGTGAATTTAATTGAGTCTCAAATCTCTGTTTTCACTGACAAAAAGGCATAGAAATATTATTTTTGCCTGTTGTCTAAGTTCTGTTTTCCTTTACAATTATCTCTTCAACATATTTAAAAAAAATAAAAAAATATCCATTTCAAGGCAAGTTGCATCTAATTACATTAAGTGAATTTTGGCCAAAATCATGTAAGCAGCAGGAACACGACAACACCTAAATGACCCCATCTCCAGTATCTCAACTGTTCAGATGCTGTTTGATAGTCTGAGCCTACACAGTTACTGTGGTCTTTGGCACTGGAACAGGTAACAACCCAGGAGTGCTGCCATGACTGCAACAGACTATGTCATGAAGAGGCAGTCTGAAAAGGAAGACAATCAGTTTTATTTACTTTTTGTTAAGGTACTACAAATGGGAAAGACAGACAAACTTCCAGCTGACCAGATATTGGAAAACGACTTTTGGAAATAAAACCTGACCCTTTTTCTGAATTCAGCAAAACAGCCAAATAAAAGATCTGTACAAGGGAATTAGTTCATCTTAACATTAATTCATAATAAAGAAATAAGTTACCTGCATGTATATTCCCATAGCAGTCTTCAACTACCATCACATAATTTCTTAGAAACAGTTACTATTGTAAGGTAACATTTTCAAGTAATTTTCCAAGTACTAAAACTTACTTCAGACCCTCCTGCTACTTTAAAACAGAAGTTATCTTTTTTTCAAAGGCTTCCTAGTGAAACTGAATAATTATCGACTTTTTCCATTCATGACCCAGTCTTCATACCACTAACTGCATATGGTGCACCCTATCACCTTCTCCCTACGTACAAAAAAGCTTCCAAAAGCTGCCAAAAGCTTTTTAAGTCTATGTTGAAATGTAAGGATTTTAAGAAAGTCAAAACATGGTATATGAAGCTTCCTTAATGCCACCATTTTTCTTTTTGAGATATTTCATAGAACCACAGAATGTTAAGATGTCCCATCTTCCACTCCAGTAACTGAGACAAGTGGGGTCTGCTTTCTCTACAAGATCCTAGGTAGGAAAAATACGCCAAACAGATACTTCATTATCCTCCTTCTTTTGTAGGTAAACAAAACCCCTGCCACCTTTGCCTCTCTAAAGACCAAAGTTTTAGGTTTTTTTTATGAAACAAAGTAATTCTTGGTGGCTTTAAAAGATAGAATATAAATTAACAGTTTTTCTTACTGTTCATTGTGTTTATTCCCTCTCATTAACAGCATTAACAGCAAAGATGGAAGGTAACACGGATAAAAGCATGAAAAATTCTCATTCCTCGGGCTCACCCTGATTAATAAAAAGGCAAAAAGAGCTGTAGGCAATTTTTAAGTCAGATAACACATCACAGCACTGACAGCAACATTTATTGCAACCCCTTGCTCTCACATATGTGTCTGTGTGTGTGTGTTGCAAGGAGAGAGAAAAACTATGTGGAAGGACCCTTTCTCTATCATTTGCAGCTTCTTAGATTACTAATAATAGTAACTGAAGAATTTCAACAGCCTTTGTGAAAAGCATTAGGCTGTGATTCTATGATCAATAAAGCTATTCCTTCACATGGGATTAAGTTCACATGTAGTTTATATCTCAAACAGCTGCTAGTATAAAAAAGTGTCATTGATGGTACACTTTTTATATAGTAATAAAATAATAAGTCACCAAAAGGTGTTGAAATAGAGAACAGGCCTCAGCCAATCACATGCATGTAATACATTAAAGATAGAATAGGTAAGTGGAATATAACATAAAATAATAAGTGAAAAATGGACTTTCACCACTGAAAGACAGCTACTAGGAAAAATAGTTACTATAAGACTACTTGTATTTAAGAGTCAGTATAGGCTAATACATCTTGAAACATATGACATTTTTCACAATGTTCCTTCTCTGAACAGAAAAGTGTTAAAAAAAATTCCATAGCTTTGGCTGTGAACAGGTCAAAGTTACCATTTGTGACCATTCTCGTAGCCAATTCCCTATCAGTGACAGCACGGTGACCACTTGTGGTTCTTTGTTTAATTGCCAATTTCAAGCATTGTTGCTTGAACATTACCCTGAACAGTCATACTAAATCAAAAAGCAAAACTTACTGTTCCAGCTGGTTCGGAGGAATCGTAAATTAGCCAGTGGTGCCATGGCTTTTGTCACTAAAGAATCAATTTTGTCTAGGTGATAACATACTAATTCTTTTTCCTCCCCTATAGTCTGGACAAATTATTGTACAGTTTCATGAAGATGTTTTTTGTTTGTTTGTTGTTTTTTTTTCTCAGCATACATCTGAAACAGCCTACAACTGTCAGCATCGGCACTGCAGTCAGATTTACAATTTATATATGATTGTTTCCCTTGCTTCAGGCACTTACCCCACTGTGAATAACAACTTATGTTTGCAATAGAACTGTGGAGAAAAAAAAAAAGCTTCTTTTCTTAGGAAGACTTATAAAAATGCAAAGTCTTTTAATTCTGGTGTGCTTTGGGATTAAACTTAATCAACAGCAGCAGTTAGGCAATGAGAGCAAACGGATAACAAGTAGCACAAAAACCTGCTCTCCAGCATCTATTCTACCTAATTTACAGAGTACAGTAAGCTACAGAATTGACTTTATGGCAGCTATTTCCATAGAAATTGAGTCCCTCTTGGTTTGAGTCTCAGTTTGGAAGAAAATATAACATATACAGCATAGCTGGATCACATCACACTTGAAAATGCTTTGTGAAGCCCAGCTGTCTCTTGAGCAGTGGGTAAGAAAGCAGCTACAGTGTGATTCAACACTCAATAAAGTACCAAGAACTAAGGTACCAAAAAGCCACAACAAAATTAAATGCATTACTCTGCAGTCACAGTGGCAAATGGGTGTGACTAGCTCATTACTGGGTGAAAACCAGGGGGAACTTGGTGGGAATTAACACAAGTATGCACAAATACAAGTTTCATTAAGGGTTACAGTTCTGTCAAATCACTGTGAATTACAAAAAACAAAACCTCATGGAATTCCAGTGAACATTTAACAGTTTTCACATGGGACTCTTATACAAACCAAATTAGTTTTTTAATTATTGCATTATGATTTTTCTGTAAAACACAAAGGCAAAGTCCCATGCATACAGAAAGACTAGTACCTGGAATGAAAATGATGTCATTTCTGCTTTGATTTCTATCAGGATACAGTACTGTTGTGTGGATCAAGAAAGGCAAAGACAGGCCTGTCCCCAAGCAGTTTGCAATACTTTAATAGTTAGTTACTGCCAAGTCTGAATACATTTAATGAAAAAATCCCAACTTCTAAAAGTGCAATCACTTCATAACTCTTTGAAAGTGAACAAGATTTCAAATCTTAATAGAATTACAAGCCCCACTATAGTCATACCAGCTAATCCTACTCACAGCAGTGCAAAGAAACGTTTACTAGATCATAGCCAAAAAGGGTTATTACTCTTATATTTTAAAGTTTGAAATTCTTACAATCCCAAGTATTTTTCTTAAACTTTCCACCCCCAAGTTCTACAAGAGAAAAACTCTTCCATTTTGCTGAGTGCTGTATGATACTACTAATAAAAATAAGACTCCAAGCTTTGAGAGTATAGAATGAGAAACAGAAAACACACAAAAAAGTGAACCTCCTAGCCCACTGAGCTGATGAGTGCCAACAACAGGAAAAGAGCCTTAAAAATTGTATCTTCTTACTCCCATTTATTTGACTGGACCACACTGTAACCAAAACACTATAATTACCACCTGCATATGCATCAGAAAATCAAAACCAAATGTTTACAGGGACATAAGACCACCACAGAAATTCAGGATAAAGATTTTGCAAACACACTCAACTTTTTACCTTTATTTTTCAAAAGCATCTTTGGAAGGTATTTTAAGATACAGCATTAAACAGTGGCAGGTATCAGTTCATACTATATTAAAAAAATAGATTCTATTTCTTGGATTAGAAGAATTAAAAACAAACAAACAAACAAAATATAAAACTATTTTGATTAATTATTTTCTCTTTTATATGCTGCATCAAACAAAACTACAAATCCATTTCCAG